GAAGATAAATTGGTACAATCCAGAATCTATTTTTACAGAGTAAAAAGCAATATGTATTATCGAAATATCAATTCGAAGTAAGCGTTTTTTAATCTAGTTTATCTGGGTGAAAACTAGTTTGTAGGCTTTATGTAATGATGAAAATTATTTTTCAGTATGTTTACTGACTTAGATATAATAAATTTGGAACTTTTGATAGTTGGCAGAATAGCAGTGCATGTTTCGAAGAAATTACGAAGTCCCAGTATCTACAGTGTAAATCTCTCCTATACCACTATGATTTGTTCATATAAGTGGAGCACACTTCATGATTTTTTTTATATAAAATAATCCCGTAAGTCAAGTTGACTTAGTAGAGTACACATAATTGTTGGAGTGAATTGGTCATACTTGCCTAATTTGATATCGAATGGACAGAAGTGTATTTCGCAGTGTTGTTGTATCATTGAAATGGCACAGTCTTCTTAAATGGAATGAAGCTTTAATTAAATAAAACTAACCTATCATCTAACATATGTTCATGGAAAAGCTCAGCGAAAATCATTAGTTATAAATGGACATTTTAAACATCTGTTTCGTGATAAATGTGCAGAGACAATCAATAAATAGCTAATTAATTTATGTAATGTTTCAATTTGTTTTTAACAAGTGTAATATGGAGCGACCCAGACATTGGCTTATACGATGCATACAGTTTGTGAAATAAAGTAACTAGCATACACTTTTGTCCTGTCTTAAGCATACTTACTCATAAAATAACTGAACAAAGCTGAAAGTTGGGCGAATTACATATACATCCAATGTTTATGAAATATGCTTCGTCATTATCTATAATGCTTTAATGATACAATTGACACGTATAAATGATATTAGGATTATGAATTTTCGCAATAGTTGTCTGACTTTAACAATTAACTTGTGATTTTCACCTCTGGAAAGAGGTCTCGCAGCCGCTAAGGGTACTCATTACCATACTAGGCAACTGGTGCTCGCAGACTTGGCTAGATAATAAAGTGTGTGCGATCAATCAAGCAAATTGGGTATGTCAGATGTCTGACAAAGTTCCTTATCTGAAGCACTATTAACATAGGTACTCAATTTTCTGTGTATCATGCAAGTCCTAGACAGTGTTGCGTTCGAAACTGGATCTCAGGACCAAACTAAAAGAAAATTGCAACAAACCAAAAGAGTCGAATGTTTGAATTATGTAGGGTGGCACATTACGATTACGTTAAATATTGATGTAGTGATTAGTCATTTTGTGACATCGAGTGACTAACTGACATACTCTAGCTCACATAAATACATGAGAGCAAGAAAAGACTTCGTGTTGCTGATCGGCGTTTATATGTATTGATGTTAATCATTATAATTAGTATATTTTTGAAAAAAGTTACACAGAATAACCATGTGATCATAATTTTTCTCTGAAGTATGTAAGATTTATTTTTCCAAGAAATGTTATTTATTAATTTAACTAATCATCTATGTATAAATGTTATGTCCATCTGTTTGTCTGTCTTTCTGTCTATCTCAGAAAGTATCATTGTGTTCACCTTCTTATCTATGAACTGTTAAAATCATTTTACTAATGGTACATCTGTCTCTCTGTTTGACTTCATGTACAGCAATAGCTCAAAGAGAAAAAACAATCTTAATGGTTCCCTGCTGGTCAATTTATCTGGAAAATTGCAAACTCAAAGTAACTATTCTTGAATTCGGTTACATTTACCCCAGGGGCCCCGAGTGGAATTGGTCTAAAGCGCTGTCCCTTACGGATCACTGGCATCTCACCTCTGTCTGCATGCGTTCGAGTCTAGCATTCGGCGAATGTGGATAGGTGAGAAAGCTTGCCAGTAGCTTCTCGTGGGTCGGTGGTTCTTTCCGGTGATTTCCCGGTTTCTTCCTCCACCATTAATACTGGCCGCCATGAACAGCCTATCGTGTGCTGAAAAATGGCGTTAAGCCCAACAACAACAACAACATTTACCCCAGTATACCTTTCTTAAAGAATGCTAGTCATTATATCCTGTATTAGGCATTACTTGAACATTGTCAGCAAAACACTTTAAGTGAAACATCATCGAAAATATAGTTTAGTTGTTTTTATATTGGCTGATATCTGGCAAGTAACGGAAATAAATATTAGGTAGCCCCTTTATGTACTGTATTAACACGCTTAAGTCTTGAAAAGCATTTGCAAATTATAAGGCGTTCCATCCATAAAGAAAAAAGCATTAGTGAAAACATGAAAGCCCTAATGATGTCTTATAATAGCACTTACTCTATGCTTCTGGTAATGACTTTATTCGACAGACGTACACTTGTATGACTCGTGCCATTTGCTTTGATGATAATGTAACAAAAAACGAAAGGGAGCATTAATAATACATATACTTATGTACCTATTTATTACTCAACTTAGCCTATGGGTTATACCTGTTCGGAATTTTCAAACCATTTAAACACGTGGTGGGAAGCAAACAACTGTCTGTTCCAAAGTTGAAGTGATGACAAGGAAATAATAAACTAATCCACTGACTGATTCATAATTGAATGGTTAGTGAATTTCTTTTAATTATTTTTTTAAACGACTCTAATTATAACTTTTAATGATGATAGAGTTTTATATGGACGTCTTTTACAAGTGTTGTTTTAGATGAAAACAATTTAATATGTAGTTTGTCATATTGTGATTGATATAATCTCACTCTGCTATGGCAAATCTTGAAATTACAAAAGACGTAATATTATTTGAAGACGAAAAGCAATCATCAGTTGACTTTGTGGTGGCAGAGATAATCGCTCAGGGAATAATTTATTTTGCTTTATATGTATATATGTCACAAAATGAGACAAAACTGACTTATATTGCAACTGGGATATTATCTCCTTCGCATGATATCTTTGAACTTGAGTTTTGTTTGATAGGAATTGTAGGGATGTACCTACATATTTGTGCCAGTTTATCTTCAGTAACACTATAGTGTATTGTCAATATTTTTGGGACTTTTGGGTATTACTTTTAGCTGCCAAATTTTAGAAATACGTTAGAATTACATTCACCTGCTAGAAATTTACACGGTTACAAAACAAAATATCGAATATAACGACTAGACAATTTCCCTCTTTGTTCGCGTACAATATATAAATGTGTAATATTTTAATTCAAGAAGCACTTTAACAATTGCACGAAATACTTCTAGAAAAATGTTTATGAATGTAATACTTATCAGATAATTAATACTATCAAAACGGTGTACCTGCAGTTTTACTCCTCTGTAACAAAAAACGGTGTACCTGTATTTTTACTCCTTTATGACGAAAAAGCATTTGTATAATATTGCATTTTGTCATGATCTAAAATGATCTTAATCGATTAACACAAATTGGTGTTTCAAAATAAATACACACACACACATACATACATACATACATACATACATATATATATATATATATATATATATATATATATATATATATATATATATATATATATATATATATATATATATATATACAATAAACTGACGACGAACAGTGAGAAACTAGTAACTAACTAGCCTGAGCGCTTTCGACTCTTAATGAGTCTTTTTCAAAGGCAAATACAAAACATATATCTTGTTGTTGTTGTTGTTGTTGGTCTTAACGCCATTTTTCAGCACACGATAGGCTATTTATGGCGGCCAGTATTAATGGTGGAGGAAGAAACCGGGAAATCACCGGAAAAAACCACCGACCCACGAGAAGCTACTGGCAATCTTTCTCACATATCCACATTCGCCGAATTCTAGACTCGAACCCATGCAGACAGGTGAGATGGCAGTGATCCGTAACGGACAACGCTTTAGACCACTAGGCCACTCGGGGCCCCTGAAACATATATAAAACAAACAAATTAACACAAAAACGTTGTGTTTGTAGATCTGTACATGGCTGTCTCCACATGGGTTAAAACTATAAATACAACCAGCTTGTATAGACTTGCTGCGGATACTGAAAACTGTGTATAATTCCATAAAAGTCTACAAGCCAAAGCGACATCTATTTTTACTTTTTTGTACATTTATGTAACACAAATTATATCCCGGATATTTGATTTTATACCGGTTATTCTTATAGTAAAAACTGAAGGATACTAAGAAGATTTAGATAAGGTTAAATTCTACTAGTGCATAGTTTTCTTTATCTAGTCTTCTTGGTTAAGATCGCTTGGTTTGAATGTTCTAAGGCGGCGTATCCAGTATGATTCCTTTTCCTTCCTGGTTTCGGAACTCCAGCTGTGGTTGTTAGCAATAGTGACAAGTGTTATATCACTGAAAGTGTGGCCAGGGGAGGAGAAGTGTTCTGCGACCGGGCTTCTGTACAGCTTTATTTGTCATCCAATCAGATCTATGAAGGCTTATCCTTTTGTGTAGCTTTTCAGTTTCTCCGACGTACTGAAGGCCACAGTTCTTACATGTGATGAGATAAATTACATTCTCTGTCTTGCACGTTTTGTTTGGACCATGTATGTTTAGTTTTTCATTAGTTACTGTGCTAGTGAATGTCCTGGTCTCTATCATATGTTGACAGGTTTTGCATCTTTTATCGCCATATGATTTGTACTCATAACCAGATTGAAAATAATTTCAAGAGTCCAGTCGAAAGAACAAGGGATAAACGGGCATATTAGGTCATAAACTGAATTTAAATTGGGAACAGAGCTGAAATGTCTCAGCTCCAGATATGCAGCCTTGCATTTGATCTCAAACTCTTGATGAGATGAAAGAGTTATGTCTAGAGTAAAACCTACGTATTGTATGAGTTTCTTCCTTGTTTTGCCGATAATTATAGTTTGAGGTGAAGTATAGGAATGATAAAGTCTTTTTTGGTGATCAGAATGTTTCGGTTTTATTATCATTCACCTTACGCTTGTTACAGGTAACCCATGACGTCACATCAGAACTTCGTTTCTCTACGCCTTGGATGGTTGCATCAGCTTCATCTGGGTGGCAGACAGCTTCGTTGGCTTAATTGGTTAGAGCATCAGCCTCGGATTCAGGAGGTAGAGGGTTAGAACCCCGACAGAGTCATACCAAAGAATTATAAAAATGGTACTATGCAATCAACATTAAGATATTAATGTTGGGACTAGTCGGCCTGGTGTCAGAATAATGTGACTGGGTGTAACATGATGCTACATGCCTGTGGCATGATACCCCAGTACAAGTCATCGCTAGATTCTGCCAGAGACTAGAAAATTGTTAAAGCCACGTTAAAACTCCAAATCACACACACGCGCGCGCAACTGGGGGTCTAGATTTGCATATTTAGCTGTCATCAGTTTACAACTGATGAGGTGCTGTCTTATGACAATCTATGACACGTGAGAGGTACTGGGCATATGCAATAAAGAGAACGGACCTAAGAACAGAACCTGGTGGTCTGGAATATTTTCCACTTACGGACACTGTTTGTGTCCTGTTGACTAAGTAAGACTTAAATCATAGTAAAGTTCTATCACAGATACCAAATGCATCCTAGAAATGATGAAGTATTATATCATGGTCCGTTGTGCCACTTAATGCGAACACGCCAAGGAGAGTAAAGACCTTTCGTTCTACTATCCAAACCAGACAGAAGGTCGATTTATAAGGGTAGTTTCAATACTGCAGATAGGGCGCTATGAAGGCTTGCATTGCTGAAAGCGTTTTCTAAGATTTTTACATAAAAGGGAGATTAAAACGGGGGTAGGGTATTTTTTAATCGTTAGGGTTCAGCGTTTATTTCGTCAACATAGGTTTTACTATAGCGTTATTGAAACAAATAACAGGAATTTGCCAGATGAGAGCGAAGTAATAATAACATCGGTTAGTGAAGTCATTAGTGAATATATGTACTCTATGAACACTAATATCGTAAACTGATCAAGTTGACACATTGTACGTAAGAAATCCGTAGAGACAGACTCAAATGCTATTAAAGGCTGCCTTTTAAATTCTGTATCACGATCGTGTGATTACAATGACTCAATTGAAAAAGTGCTTTCAAGTTAATCACTTACGTTTTGCACTTTGTCACGGTAAAAATTTGCAAAAAGGTTCGGAAGTCCATCAGGAGAGGGTCATTAGAAATGATTTATGTTTGTTCCTTGAAATTAACTCGTTACCAATTTCAAAGAGGTCTTTGCAGCTGGAGCTTTTAGTGATCTTAGTACTCAAGTTGGCCTATTTCGCTGTCTGAACTATATTCGTGACATCCTTCATTGATTTTCTGATCAATAGTAACAACTGAGTCATGCTAAAGGCACTCAGTCTTAGGGCTTTCTCTTTTGGCGGTGCAAAGCTGGTTCCTATCACTACTATACCATGTATAACACCTCTGAATGCATATACTGCAGTTGGTTGCTGAGTAATAAACGCAAGCAATTATCAACTAGTTCTGCTGTAGGATATTAAAAGCTTCTAGGTTTGCTTGGGTGCCATGCATTAATTGGATTCTATTAATTTTATGGCAGGTTATGTAAGTAGCAAACAAAAAAATGAAGATTTGGTAAGTTGCATCAAAATGGCACATGACACAGGGGTGATTTGATGCAAGTTTCTGGGACACAGATGAAGAATATAGAATATTATCGCTGGGTCTTTGAAATAGCCAGTTTAAAGTGTGATCATATAGTAGACCTCTTAAATTCAAGACATGACAAGGTACTAATATTTTCATTAGAATAAACTGATGATTAAATTTTGCGAAGTTCGCTCTTGTATGATTTTTTTAAATAACGCAACTATAGAATAAATTTCTATTAATAGTTTGCACGTAGCATGATGCAAATCATTTAGCTAATGAAAGAAAAATAACATCTTTGTTCTTTTAATGAAAATACTTTTCATATATAATGAAAAATAGGATGACAAACGCTTACAGAACCTTCTGAAATTTACCATCCCTCTCTATGCAATTATTTTCGTATGAACGAGTACGTCAGGAACCTTAAAAAGTAACCAAAAATAAAACTGAAATAAGATGAGGATGAAAGAAATATAATAGAGTTTGAAAAGATAAAAGAAACAACTACCATCGCAAGGGTACTTTTTTCTTATTTAAGATTGACTCAAAGCATTTTTTTTGCATATTGCTTTGATTATTTATTATTTTGATTTCAATTAGGATAAGATAATTGAAATTACGATGCGTTTCCCTAAAAGCAATTTTGCAGGGACTTAACGATGTCTATAGATTGGTTTTCTTAACAGCGGAATGTTCATTAAGCATTTTTACCATGATGCACCTCTCCTTTTCAATAAGACCAGAAACGATATATATATATATATATATATATATATATATATATATATATATATATATATATATATATATATATAAAGAGAGAGAGAGATATCATTACGAGGATAATCAAACATATTTGAACAGTAGACAGAAGGAGAACTGATCTAATTAGTCGAAATAAGTCCGCTTTTTGGTCCTGATATATATATATATATATATATATATATATATATATATATATATATATATATATATATATATATATATATATAGATAGATAGATAGATAGATAGATAGATATCATTACGAGGATATTCAAACATATTTGGACAGTAGAGATAAGGAGAACTGATCTAATAAGTGAAAATAATTCCGATTTTTGGTCCTAATAATTAGATTTATATTTATCAAATTGTTTGATTCCTATGTCGTATTCTAACGCAAACATATGATAAAAAGAATTGGATGATTTTGAATATATCAATTATCTGAATGTGCCAGTAGTACATCAATTTAAGCAGAGCTGTTTTCTACGAATATATCTCCGAATCTTATTGAGTTTCATGTTGCCTATTTAAGAATGCTTTCCATTTTTATTCTATTTTACACTTTTGTTTTCCAGCTGTTTGTTTATTGTAAAGATTCAACAAAGTCAGTTTTTTATTTATCATTTAAATCACTGGTAGATAAATTATAAGTGGTTTTCAAAAGAGCTTATCTTTCTGCCATTAATATTTATATTGCTCGTCTTGTCGTTTTGATTATCTAGGTTAAATAATTTTCTTTCCCTATGTTGACAAAGTATTTGTATCATTAAACGCATACTAATACCGCTGGTAAATTGATTAATTAGAGTTTTAATATCTTGATCATTTTATTTCACTTCGCTGTTTGAGTCACTTTCTAGTTGTTAGGTTTTTGTGCCAATTATTTGTTCCATACCAACATCAAATGTATCCGTACACGTGTATATCCTTTCTTCAACCAGTTGCAAATATTATTGAATATTTTGATATTTCTCCTGGTTATTTTCCGTACAGTTTGAAATGATTGTATACCATCTAAAATAACTTATTATTAAAGCACTGGTGTTTTAACAAGTCCCATGCTTTCATCACATACACATTCATGATACGGGGTATCATTTAATAGGCATCATTTAAAACTTGATTTAAAACGACAATGCTTCCAAGAAATATTGACAAATAAAATAAACACATCTTGGAACGGTAAACCAACTGTATATTACGGCATTACACCGTATCGGGAAATTTTATTTGAATCCGTTTCCTTGGGTCATTAGGTTGGACAAATGAAAGAGGTGAACGGCTATATGGCTATGTCGATATTTGCAACAAACACTCTGAGTTTCCGAGGAAACAAAAGTTTAAAACAAATATACTTTTGAATCGTTTTACCAGCAAGAAATGCAAGCAGAAACCTGAATATATGGAGATCATTTCCATACATAGCTAAGATTATATATTAAGAACGATGAAACAGGAAAACGATTACCTACAAAACCGAAAGCGAAGAAATGCATCCAAAGAGTTAAATTGAAAAATCTTTTGGAAGGTGTTTAAAGTAAATGAACGCACGTAGCTCCACAATATATAAATCAAGTGAGTAATGTTAGAGAAAATATGATAAAAGATCAATCTTACAAAAACACCATTAGACGATAGGCTAAAATAAATTCCAACGATCTTTCAATTGCCACTATTGCTACAGGATCAAATGCAGCATCTCGTGATCTGTCCACAACACAAATCGCAAAAACAGAAGTAGCTTAATTTGTCCTGCTACATTTGTCCCACACATCTCTGATCTTCCTAGTCTAAGTGAACTATTTTTTGCATGAATAAGAAAGACTGCACGCTAAAAAACAGTTACATTGCATAAATATTAGTTGTTGTTGTTGTTGTTAGGCTTAACGCCATTTTTCAGCACAGTTCATGGCGGCCATTATTATTGGTAGAGGAAGAAACCGGGAAATCCACGGAAGGAACCACATACCCATGGGAAGCTACTAGCAAACTTTCTCACATACCCACATTAGAAGAATCTTAGACTCGAACACACGCAGAGGTGAGATGGCAGTGATCCGTAACGGACAGCGCTTTAGACCTTTGGGCCACTCGCCCCCTCTAAATATTAGTGTAGTGTCATAAACAAGGTTTTGAATACAGTTGTGAAAGTTTTTCTTTGATAATTGATAAATTATTTTGCTTGTTTTATAACTACTTGTTCACATGTTTGCACATTTAACCAGGTGAATAGAGGCGACACCAACGTGGATTAAAAGTTCAGTTTCTATATTTAAAAGGCGCATTATACCAGCTTCTACGATAATCGAGATAGAAATGAAAACGCCTATTGAGGTTAATTCATACTGTTTGTTCTTTAAATCATATGTGGTTGCAATTAGGTATCATGTTTTTCCTTCTTGTTATCCGCGTTTTAATACCGTTATCATTTTCGTCCATTTGTTGTCAATGTTTGTTTATTTTCCTTTCTTTCTGTTTAATTCGTTTAGTAACTTTTTACTGACTGCTTATCAGTCGCTCGAATCTTATTTTGCATACAACAGCTATATTTATAGATGTGTTTAGTCCCATTTTAAGTTTTCAAGCGAAACTTATAAAATACTATTTAGACCCAGCATTACTATCAATTCTTTTAAATATATCATCTGGTGTGCAAAATATACCATAACCACAAAAAGCATAGTCTAGTCTAAAATATATTTTGTTACATGTAGTCTTGTACAAATGTAACAAAAGAAAAGAATGAAGTCAACAAG